CCCCCCCCCCCCCCCCCCATTTTTCGCTGCTGTGTCATGTCAAGCCCAGCTTGTGTAGCTGTTTCTGTTTCTGTGTAGATCCCGAGAATGAGACATTTCTGTAGACCGGGTCGCCCTGGCTCCTGGACACAAGCAGTGAAAGCATTTACACAGGGGCTGGGTGGAACATTCTCTGCAAGGCAAAGCTGAAGGACAACGCTGAAGGGCCAGCTGACAAACGCTCTGCCGGTATGTACACGCAAGTACAACATGGTACACCAACGCCACACCACAGGGCCAGCCCTACATCATATGGAACTTGAGCACCTGCGGCGTGGCCTTGCGCACGCGGCACAGGATCTCCTCCCTCCCCAGCCGCACGTGTGCCTCGTAGCGGTGGCACCCAGAGAAGCCCCAAATCTGCCCCTCAACTTCCAGCACGTCTATGGGCTCCTGGAGGCCGATCTCTTGTATCGAGCGCATCAGGGCAGCCACCTTTTCGGGATCTGCACGCGCAGCAGGGAGTGCGCACATGCAGCATGGGCGGATCAGGCAGGGGTTGCCGCGTGCACTGCTGTGGCAAAGCGCAGAGTGTAGCACAAATGGGGCACACGGTAACCTGCAGCCAACCAACCAGCGCCTGCTGCCATGCGCTCACCGTTGCTGCGGGCCCCCTGCAGCGGCCTGCGGATGGAGCCCACAGGTATCATCCGGACTTGCTTATCCGCGCTGTAGTCGTTGCGCTGCTGCAGGTCCCAGCCATGCTTGGCCGCCACCGCCTCCACATCGATGATGCCCGAGGGGCCGACAACCGGGGCGGAGTCCACTGCCATTGGCACCGCAGCCACTGCTGCCTGCCCGGAACTGCCGCCGGTGCTGCCGCCGCTGCCAGGTCCAGCTGCTGCCTGGGGTGACGCAAACCGCTGATGCTTGGCTGCTCTTCGCAGCTGGGGGTTGGAGGGCATGCGCTTCCTGAAGGAGTGCGTGGGTGCGCTGTTGCTGCAGGGAGCCGGGTTGAAGCGCCACTGCATTGCTCGCTGCTCTGGATGGGAGCTGCCTGATAGTCTTGGGAAGGCTGCAGGCAATGCAGATCAAGGGAGGGCCGCCACGCCTGGAGACTGCCAGCGCGACCTGCCAGCGCGGAGACCTCACGCTCACGAAGACACGACGGCACCGCACACCGATCGTTAAGGCTGTGACGCGGTTCACTGCAACACTGCTAACCCGTGATCAAGCCATCCTTCGCAGCCACCGCAACCCGCAACTCGCCAGCTCGCTATCGGGCGGCTCGGCCTGCCGATCACAGTCGAGGGTGCGGGGTACCGATCATTGCTGGGTCCTGTCACAACCGAGGAAGTCAGGGAGCCGTCAAAACGGCACGCCGCCGACGGCACAGCCTTCTGGGCTTTCCCAATCCCTGCTTGTGTGAAGCGGCTCGAGTTGCAATCCATCATCCAACTCGAGGCGCTGGTGCCAGCAGGGCCTGCTCCGCCGCCCACGGTTTGTGCGCCCGACCGCCTCGGCACCGCCCGTGTGCAGGTGCAGTTCGCTGGTAGCAGGCCGCGAGACCAAGTGCAGTCCGCTGATAGCAGGCCGCAAGGCGGGCGAGGAGCGAAGGGGTTTAGGTAGACGGCCATGGCGCCCAGCAGCATGCGGGCGCTGCACTTTGTCATCAAGGTCGCCGACCGCACCGCCAGCGTCGCCTTCCTGCACAACGTGCTGGGCATGCATGCGCTGCGGCACGAGGAGTTCCAGGAAGGCTGCAAGGCCGCCTGCAACGGGCCCTACGACGGCATGTGCGTGGCCCCGCAGCCAGCGCCAGCCAGAGCTGCCACTGCTGCAGTGGGCCCGACTCGTCCGCCGCTGTGTGTTCAACTGCAGCCCAGTCGGGGTCTGCTATGGCTGCCTGTCATGCTACTGACAGGGATGTGTATGCCCCGCTGTGCAGGTGGTCCAAGACCATGATGGGCTATGCTGCAGAGGTGCCAAGTGGTGGGAGGTGGCCCCCGGGCCTGTGCTTGCCATCTCGACAGGCCCTGCGGGCCCGTGGCGCCCCGCTGATCGGGCGCCCATCAGCCCCTGCCGACCCGTGTGCTGCCTGCCCGCCTGCCCGCACGCACACCCGCGGCCTGCAGGACACCAGTTTTGTGCTGGAGCTGGCGTACAACTACGGCGTCAGCTTCTACAAGCACGGCAACGACTTTGGGTTCCTGAAGGTCCGCAACCGGGTGGCCTACGCCAGCCTGGAGGAGCAGGGGCTGGGGCAGGAGGTGGAGTTCAATGTGCGGGAGGTGGCCTCCCCCGACGGCCACACTTTCCGCGTGCTGAACGAGGACCCCACAGACGTGGGCTGCCTCTCCTCCCTCTGCCTGGCCGTCACAGACATCGACAAGTCCATAGGTGGGGCGCCGGCGCGGCGGCCGCGGCGGGGAGGCGCGCATCCTGCCCGTGAACCTGCGCTTCGCTGGTGGCCTGCCGACCTGTCACGCCATTCCTGCTGCGCACTGCGCTGCAGCCTTCTGGGCCGACGTGCTGGGCATGCTGGAGATCGACAAGGGCGACGACTTTGTTGTGCTGTCCAGCGGTGTGGACCAGGCCACCCTGCGCCTCGTGCAGCTGCCGGCAGGCACGCCCGTCGACCACGGCACTGGTGGCGGCCGCGTCGCCTACAGCTTCCCGGCAGCCGACCTCAAGCCGCTGCAGGTGGGGGTCGAGAAATGTCGTATTTTTGGTACTGCCGCCGCTGCCGCTGCTGCACAGTCGCCAACGCGTCGTCATGCTCACATGCCTGCATGCCTGCCTGCGTGCTCCCGCCCCTGCCAATGCCCCCCTGCAGGATGAGGTGCTGGCTCGTGGGTACACCGTGCTGACGCCTCTGGTCAGCCTGGACACGCCTGGCAAGGCCACGGTGCAGGTGGTGATCCTGGCAGACCCAGATGGACACGAGGTGAGGGCAGCGCGCAGCCGGGGAAGCACGCCAGCGGGTGCCGGTGCCGCCGCTGGAGCGGCTGGGGTTCGGCTTGTAGCAGGTGCAGGAGCAAGCAGCGACCCTGCCCACATTCAGCCTCCGCAGCGGAAGCCCTGGCTGGCCACCCCGGTCCCCAACTGCCCGCCCTTGCCCCTGCCCTCCTCTGCAGGTGTGCTTTGTCGGGGACGAGGCGTTCAGGGAGCTGTCGCGTGTGGATGACAATGCACCGCAGCTGCTGACCCAGGCCATTGCAAAGGACACCAGCCGCGAGTGGAGGGCCGGGAAGCTCAAGCGGGAGCAGGCGGCAGCAGCGGCAGCACCCGCAGCGGCGCCGGCCGGCAAGGCGGCAGCACCGGCAGCGGCGCCGGCGGTGCCTCGAGCAGCAGAAAAGCCAGCGCCAGTAGCAGCAGCGACCAAAACGGCGGCACCAGCAGCCGGAGCCAGCAAATAAGCACTGCCAAGCCACAGCCTAACTTCATACATGTATGAGATGCCAGCAAACACCCGTTTTGTGCAGCAGGGAGTTCTGAAAGTTACTGAAGGCTAGGACCCTGCCCGCTTCATCCTCATTGCATTTTTATCCGGTGTATCTGTGTGCCCGCAGCTTTCCTGTGTCTTGCCTTGAATGCCTGTTACACAGCAGCCCTCATGTGTGGGCTCCATCCACAGCTGTGTCCAGCACCAGGGCCTGGTGGTGCGCAGGAAACATGGCATCACTGCCGGCCGCCATGCGTACGCACTGCAGCAGCACGCCCGCCGGGATGGGCGGCTCCGCATCCTGCAGCGCCTCCACTTCGGCCGCGTAGCAGTCGGCAAAGGTGGACATGACCCAAGCCTGGAACTGCTCCTGCCGCTGCGCTTGCTGCTGCCTGCCTTGCTGCTGCTGCTGCTGGCCGGCTGCTGCCAGTAGCTGCTCTATCGCCGCCGTGGCTGCATCTGCCTGCAACGCAAGCGCAGCTAGCTGCAAAGGGGCCATGCTGCTGCTGCTGCTGCTGGGTGCGCCGGCCTGCGCCAGCTGCTCCTGAAGCAGCCACAGGGCTGCTGGGGGCTGCAAGTAGCCTTTGGATGCCAGCGCATCGGTCAGCTGTGACACACACTTTGCCAGGGATGCCAGCTGCCTGCGCAGCGCGCCTGCCAGCACCTGCTGCTCGGCTGCTGCCTGCCGCACTTCAGCCGCCGCTTGCCTCAAGCAGCCCAGCAGGTGGTCGATGGTCGGGTGTGGCACAGCAGCTGCATCGCTGTGTGGCTCTTCTTGCTCTGGCGCTGCCTGCTTCTCATTGGCACTAGCTCCATCCTTGCGCTTGTGCTTCTTCTTCTCCTTCCGCACCCACTCCTTCCGGGGCGCCGCCGCCGCTGCCGCTGCCGCCGCTGTCGGCCCGCTGTCAGGGGCCTGCCTGCTCCCTTCCTGCATCAGGAAGACCTTAACATCACTTATCACGCCCCTCCAGAGCACTGGATTGCCTAGCGAAGCCAGCAGCATGGGCATGCGCAGCCAGCACGGAGCCGGTGGCTGTCTTGCCTGCTTTAAGACACCGGCTGGCTTTGGAAGATCCGCATGCGACTGCAACGCCCCGCTCTCGCGTAGTCTGCAGCTCAGCTCCGCGAGGTCATCGGCCTCCTGCCCCTTCTTGCGACCTGACGAGCTCATGCTTACTTCAGACCACTTGTAGATCCATTCCAATGGCAATGGGCGCCCATGCATGGGCGAACACGGCGTTTTCCAGCAAAAGAAAAGTGCCGGGCATGCGTTTTGAGACCTCATGCCGTGAAACCCTCCCCGAGACCGTCACAGCAACAGGGCAGGACGAGCCGGATTGGTAGCAGCTTGCAAGGCCTTGGACCTGGTGTCGGCTGGCGACATGCGACTTTTTCGGGCCTGTTCGCCCAGCCGCTCCCCCTCTGCCTCGTTTCGCCTCGGCGGAGCGCTGGGGGAGTGCAAAGTGACAGTGAGGGTCCAAGGCGACCAATTGCAGCTCTGCCAAAGAGGCACGGGAGAGGTGCGGCGGGCGGCGCCGTCAACCGCCACCGCCACTTGTGTTTGGGCGCCCCTGCCAACCCCTGGCAGCCTCCTTGTTCAAATGCTGGCTGCCTGCAGGTGCTGCAATCGCACCCCCTGGATGAGGTCAGCTGGCACACGTGTGTGCTGCCCACCAAGGAGCATGCCCTCTGCCTGCGTGTGCCAGAGGGCACTGGCGCTACAGATGGCGGCAATGCACATAGCACAACCCGTGAGCTGCTGCTGCGGTGCAAGTCCAAGGAGCAAGTGGACGCATCGCAGGCGCTGCTGTGTGTGGCAAGCCTGGAGCACGAGCAGCGGCGGCAGCAGGCTCTTGTGGAGGAGGGCCGGCAGCGGAGGGAGCATCCACCGGGGGCCACCGTCGGCTCCAAAGCCGCAGCGCGGCCTGGGCTGGGCAGGTTGCAGCTCTTTGTGAGAGCTTCGCCACCGCCGCCGGCAGGGAAGGCAGCTGAAGATGGTGGCAGTGATGAGGCCAGTCCAGCCCCTCGCTCCATCAGCTTTGGCTCGCCAGTGGCGGAGGATGCGGGGGGCACCACAGGCATGGCTGCATCAGTCAGCAGCAGTGACTCAAACTCTTTATGCGGCGATGGCAGCGAGGGGGAGGATGGTGAGGGCGTCCTCTGGCACTGCTTGCAGTGCCATCTGCCAGACGGCAGCACGGCATCCCCAGAGCCCTTGCCGGCAGGAGCAGGCATGCTGGCCCGCTCGGCGCCGGCATCACCGCTCCTGCCGGGGCTGCCGCTGGTTGCCAGCCCGTCTGCCGCGCCGGTTCGACGCCCATCAGTGTCCGCTCCCGCCAGCCCGGCCCATGGGATGGCGCCGCAGGGCCGCCCCTCAGCCACTCAGCTGGCCTCCGCTCTAGAGCAGCTGCAGCCAGAACCGCCTGCGCCACCTCCCATTCGCCTGCTGTCCTTCAGCGGACGGACCAGCGGCAGGCGGGTGCAGACCCACGTGCAGCGGCTGGAGGCGGCGGTGGCACAGCTCAGTGCTGAGCTGGCGGGGTCCCGCGGCGGCGGCGGCAGCAGCGCCGCTTCCCCCAGCAGAGACCACGCGACTGCTGCAGCTGCTGCTGCCGCCGCTGCACCGCACGCAGCCCCACGCTCACAACCCGGCAGCCAGGATGCCGGCTGCAGTGCTGCTGCGGCTGGGCATCCGGCGGCTGCAGATGGCGCGGTTGAGGCGGCAGGCCAGGGCAGCAGCAGCCGGCACCTGGGGCTGGTGCTGCGAGAGAACGGCCTTCTCCTGGAGCAGCAGGCGGCCCTGCAGGCGGTGCTGGGCCGCATGCAGGGCCAGCTGGCGGCGGCCGCCGCCGACAACGTCCGCCTGGCGCAGGAGGCCGCCGCCGCCGTGCGCCAGCTGCAGGCGGCCGGCGAGGCGGCGCAGGGCAGCCAGCTGCGGGAGCGGCGCCTGGCCGCGTCGCTGTCGGCCGCGGTGGGGCGGTGCGAGGAGGTGGGCAGGGAACTGGCTGCTTTGAGCGGCAAGGTGGAGGCCAAGTCGGCGCAGTGCCGGGAGCTCAGGTGAGCCGGGGCACAGCTCACCCGCTCCAGGAAGGGGCCAGACGAGGAACACAAATGCAGGCGCCCTGGTTGCCTTGGTTTCTACTGCGAGCATGTGGGCAGCATCCTGCCCAGGCTCGGCGGGACAAACGTCTGATGCAGCCTGTGTCAGGCTTGGCAGGACAAACGTCAGTGAGCTCGTCGTCCCGCTGCGCGGTGCACCTAGCGCAGGCTTGCGGTGGAGTCGCTGTCTGGCGAGAAGACGGTTCTGACGGCGGCGCTGACCACAGCCCAGCTGCAGCTCAAGGAGGCCACGCCTGCAGGCTGGGCGGCGGAGACGGCTGAGCTTCGGCGCCAGGCGGAGGCGGCCCGCGGCGAGGCTGCGCAGGCCAAGGCGGCGGCTGCGGGGGCGGATGCCAGGCTGGCGGAGGCGCGGCGCAGGGAGGCAGAGGTGGGTCGGGCCTGTGCCCTTCGGACAGCCGAGTGTGTCGGCCTTCCCCTGTGATGCTTCCCCGGCATCCCTCGCTTGCCGTAGCCGGGTCAAACATGCCTGTTTTTTCAACCGCCTGGGCCTCCTTGCTTCCTGCAGGCGGCGGGGCACATGCGGGAGGCGGCTCGGTGCTTGGAGGCCGCACAAGCGGCAAGGGCCAGCGGCCTGGAACGGGAGAGGCAGCTGGCGGCCGAGGTGGCCGCGCTGCGGCAGCAGCTGGCGGGGCGGCTGCCTGAGGGCGACCCTGCCAGGGTGATGCAGGCGAGGGGGATGGGTTGGGCAGGCGGGGGTGGCTGAGTGAAGCTGTGTGCGCTGTGGTCGTCTCTTGGTGCTCGCGGCCAGGTGGCCTGGTGTGGATGGGAGCGGCACTTGCACCACCACACACGACCTGAAAGCAACCACCCCGGCTGGCTGCAGGAGCGGTTCATGCAGCTGGAGGCGGCGTCTGCCGGGCTGCAGCAGGAGCGGGGGCTACTGCTGGGCCAGGTGCAACAGCTGCAGGCGGTGGGGCAGGAGCTGAGCGTCAGCTGCCGGGCGCTGGAAGCGGGGATGCAGGCGGCGATACGGGAGCGGGACGGGCTGCAGGTGGGGCGCTCAGCGCGTGTGCTCCAGCTATGCATGGCATCCAAGGTGCTGCGTGCGATGGCATGGCTGGGGTGGCCTCGTAGCTCACCTCCGTGCTGCTGGCGTGTGGTGTGCGCAGGCAGCGCTCTCCCAGGCCCGGTCGGCGCACGCCGCCGAGGAGCAGCGCTGGGCGCAGCAGCGGCAGCAGCTGGAGGCCAGCCTGGGGTCCGCCAGCGGCCGCCTGGCGGGCAGCGAGGACAGCGCGCAGAGCAGCAAGGCGCAGGTGCAGGCGCTGCAGGAACAGGTGGGCACCACGGTGGGTCGAGGGTGCGGATATATCAGTTAGGCAGTGGGGCACTTGTGAATGGTGTCACCCCGCCCCCCTCTTTCACGCGTAGAACCCCTTGGCATGTGCCCTGTAGGTGGCGGCCTTGCAGCGGGACCTGCTGGCAAGCCAGCAGGCGGCAGCCGCCCGGGAGCAGGAACTTCACACTGAGCTCAAGGTGGTGGCGGCCAAGGCGGCAGCGGAGGGCGAGGCGGCCAGGGAACGAGCGGAGGCGGCGGCCGCCACCCAGGCAGCAGAGGCCGCGCGGCAGCAGGAGCAGCTGCGGTCACGGGATGCTGAGTTGGCGGCGGCGCGCAGGGAGGCGGCGCTGCTGGAGGCGGAGCAGCAGCGGGTGCAGGAGGAGATGCGGCGGGGGCGGGAGGAGCGGGCGGTGGCTGCGCGGGACCTGCAGCTGCAGGCCAGCTCAGCAACGGCGGAGGCTGCCAAGCTGGAGCAGGAGCTGCGGGCAGCTCAGGGCGCGGCAGAGGGGCTGAGGAGCGCGCTGGAGGAGGCCAAGCGCGCGACGCAGCAGGTGTGGCGCTGCTGCTGCTTGCTGCCAGCAGTCGCTCTCGGAGGATGCCTGTTTCTGAGTTGCTGGCCCACCGGGAGCTTACTGTGGAGCCAAGCCCCGCCTGCCGTCATCCTGCCCGCAGGCCCAGGCCCAGGCGGCGGCAGCGGTCAGCGCCCACAGCGCCCTCAGCCACGAGCGCAAGGAGCTGCAGGCGCGGCTGGAGCGGCAGGGAGTGGAGCGGGACAGGGCGGAGCGGGGCCAGGAGGCCGCGCGGCTGCAGTGCGCCGCGCTGCAGCAGCAATGCAAGCTGCTGGAGGCGGTGGCGCAGCGGCAGGCAGCGCTGGGAGGCGTGGGCGGCGGGGCCAGGAGGGGAAGCAGCAAGGAGAAAGGCGTCGGCGGCCTGAGGCCAGGCAGCGGGCTGATCAAGGCTCATCGGCTAGGAGCGTACAGCAGTGGCTCAGACTGATGGGGACAGATGGGCATTTCTAACCATTCAGTGAAAGCAGTGCTGGAGCTGTATAGCCCCGATGTGATGAGATGGATCAGGCAGTGCCACACTGGTGCCACTCAAGTCAATGACCTTGCGCAGGCATTTGGACCATCTCGGTGCTGCTCTGCTTGCAACTGGCTCCCTCTTGCGGCATCTGCTGCGTGCTGCTCCTCCTCCTCCCCCTCCTCTAAAGGGTATCCAAACTCTCGGTAGAATGGATCCCAGAGATGCTGCACCCGCCGCCGCAGCTCTGGGCTGAGCGGCCTGCAGCAGCATGCAGCAAGGCTCGAGGCACATGAGCGTTTGTACGTGCGTGCTGTACCAAGCTTGAGGCCTGTGCCAGCAAGCGCGCTCCCCTACCTGTGCTTGTTCTTCTTGAACCCGCTCATCTCCAGGCCGCCGCAGTACCGCTCAAAGGCGGGACGTACCGCCTGGAAATCTCCCAGGTCCAGGCTGGTATATAAGCGGCGCAGAGTGCCGAGCGGGTCGCTGTCCAGCTCAGCAAACGACACCTCCACAAGGTTGCCTGCAGTTGATGTGGTGGCAAAACGTGGGGGCCAGACTGGGTGGCAAAAAAAGGTGGTCCCCCGCTGGGCAGCCTGGCCACCAGAGCATGTGTTCCGAGCAAGGCGGGCGTGCCTGCACGCACCTGGCGGTACAAGCTTGCGGTCGGCGGTGAAGATGCGGTACAGTAGGCTGAACTGCTCCAAGATGAAGTCAGTGACAGCCGCATCGGTGGGGCGCTGGAGGTAGCAGTACCTGGAAGCGTGATCCCGCACGCGGCGGTTGCCCCGGCTCAGTAAAGCAGCACAGGGCCCAGCGGGGACAGCACCGCACTGCGATCACATCATTGCTGCCTGCTGCCCTCCCCACCAGTAGTAAGTGTTGGCCATGTGGGCGGCAGACTGGAAGGTGGACAGCGGGTCGCGGTGCACATACACAAAGCGGGCACGCGGGAAAAGCTTGAGCAGCAGCTTGAGCCGCGCCGTATGCACCGGCGACTTGATGAGCAGCGGCTTACAGCCGCCCCAGCGCAGCGTGACCTGCAGGCGGGCAGAGCGCGGAGCAGAGAGAGTCACCTGCTCAGGCTGGGTCGTGCTTGGGCGGCATCCCGCTGGGCGAGCAACCAGCACCTGTGGCAGGCCACGCCGCTGTTCTAACTTTTTCAGGAACCACAGCAGGCTGGAGCGCCAGCTGTCAAACTCCGCCTCGCTGGCGCCCTCAAAGGTATAGAATGCATCAAAACGGTGCCGGTCCCGCATGAACACCAGAGGCATGTAGGCGGACACGGTGCCTGCGCAGGGGGGCGCGCAGTTTGCACGGCAACAGGGCAAGGCATCAGGGCAGGGAGAAGTGACGGTTGAGCGCGGGATCATGCATGCCCGCCGGGACAGCCACCGGCCGGGACAGCCACCAGTGGCTCCCCTGCCCGCGGCCCCACCCGTCAGCGCGCTGACGGCGATTTCGTCTTCCGCGGGCGTGTCCAGGCTGAGCGGCATGAAGTCCATGGGCCGCGTGTCGTCCACCAGGCCCGCCAGCAGCCACTTGAAGCGCTCCAGCGCCAGGAAGGAGGCGGGGAAGCCGGCGTGCAGGGTGCGCGCGTACGCAAACCTGCGGCGGCGGCGCAGGCGGACACGCCCCCTCGCCCAGGGCCAGCCAGCACGCCACTGCCACACCTGCACAACCGGCCTCTGCAAGCCAGCAAGGAGGCACTCACTGCGGGTCGAGCGCCAGCAGGTTGTGGATGTGCGTGGTGCCCGTGCGTGGGTGGCCCAGGATGATGACGGGCTGCGGGTGCAGCTGCTGCGCCGCGACGGCTCTGCCGTACAGCAGGGAGTCCACCAGCGACAGCAGCGAGTTGAGGCAGGCCATGAGGCTCAGGAATGCGGCGCGGTGGCCGTAGGCCAGCCAGTCGATGATGTCCCAGTGGCGGCGCAGGAGGCGCAGCCAGGGGCGCAGGGTGATGCCGCTGAGGAAGTGGTTTTTGAAGGAGAAGCGCTGCGGCAGGCCGGGGGAGAGCGGGTAGGCGGCCGCGCTGCTGCCCGCGTCTGTGGGCGGCGGCATGGCGGCAGACTGCGCGGGCGGCGTTGCTGGTGGCAGCCTTGCGTATGGCCGGCGCTAGTCCCTATTGCATTCTGTGGTCAATCGACCGCTGAGCAGCGAAGGTGCTGCGCAGTGCACTGCGACGGTGAATTGCACGTCCCTTCCCCCACCGACCGTCCCAGAAGCACTGGGCTGAATTGCGATTGGCGATCAGATTCGAAAGAGCGACGGAGGTGGTCGACCATGTGCCAGTTGGCAGTCTGATTGCTGCCAAGGTCCGCCCCACGAGATCACCGGACGGAGCGGGAAACAAATGAAAACGTTCTGGATGCCAGCACCAAGGCTCGAAGACTGGGCCCCATTCCGTCAAAATCCGGCGCCGCTTTATCGCGAAGAAAACACCCTCCGGCCTGACATATCGAAGATGTATACGTTCCAGAGGGCTGGGGCAGGGTCCTCCGGGGGGCCCTCCTGGAGGGACCCAGCTGTGCCGTGGCATGGCCTCTTGAGGCACCCAATTTTAGCCGCCAGCAACACTGGAAGCACTCGCAGCGATCCTACAAGTGTCGCAACTTTAGTTGTTCAGCACTCCGGTGGAGGCTTGCAAGCGCCTCTAGGGCACACTGCCAGCTGGCCGCGTGGTTGAGGATGTCCTGCCAGCTGGGGGCGCGGCGATGCCTAACAAAATTGTTGGGCATCGCTAGCCCCCCCTGCCCGAGATCACCGGAAGGTTGTTAGGGCCTCGGTGATCTTTACCGGCCAGCCCACTGTCTCCAGTCCTTCCCTATGAAAACCCGGCTTCCTACCGCCACCGGACCTTGTTCTTGAGGCATCATCACGTTTTCACTCCCTGACAAGGCTCGACGTCCTGCCTCCACAGACCAACCGCGGAGGCGGCGGCGCCCCCGGCGCTGGCGGGAAGCAGCTGCGGCTGCCCTCGGGGCGCGCGCGCATCAGGCTGCTGTATGAGGAGTACGTGCATCTGCCAATGCTTCGCCAGGTGAGCCCCGACTGACTGTCAGATATGACGAGCTCTTGGCGCCTGCGGTCGCAACGACCGAGTGCTCCACTGCGGGCGATGCCCTGCAGGTCTGGGAGGCGCCCTCCACGGAGAAGCCCGTGCTGGAGCCGCTCTTTGCCGCCGGCTTCCACGGCATCGAGCTGGCGCTGCTGCTGCTGGCCGAGTTTGTGAGCGACGGCCGCAGGTGCGCCACGGGAGCAAGCGGTCTGGGCGGGGCAGTCGCCCAGCCTCTCGGGGCTGCTGATGCACTATGCTCATCTCTGTGTGCGTCCTTGAAAGGGGTCTGCCGCTGGCATGCGCCACGGTTGCAGGTATGTGGCCAAGCGGCCGCGGGAGCTGGTGGCCGAAGACATCGCCACACAGGTGCGGCCCTGGCTCAAAGCTATGCGCATCATGATGCTAGGTGTGGTGCCCAAATCGGACTGCTCTGTTGTTTGGTGTCCTTTCTCACGGGTGTGTGTGCCGGCACGACTGGCTGCAGTGCCAGCTGCTGACCGAGGTGGTGGATGCTGAGCTGGAGGAGGAGCTGGGGGAGGGGGCCTCACCCGCCAGCCGCCTCTCCCTCACCCAGGTGCGACCCGCTGCTGCAGCCAGGCGGCGTGCAGGATGGGTGTGCTGGGGCGGCGACCATCACACGGAAGGCAGGCAAGCACATGCGAGTGAGGTGCTGGCTCCCCCGCCGCCCTCCTGCCCTGCCTTCCCTGGCTGCAGGCCTTCCCCTTTGAGGGCTGCCCGCCCACCAAGCACGAGCCCTGCCACTCCCCGGGCCTGCAACGCCTCACTGTCGCCATCGACGCCAACATCGACAGCATGAGCAGCGCCGAGCGCAACTCGCTCATCAAGGTGCGTGCCCTCTGGACCGGCGTCCGGCGTTGGCGCCCGCGTGCCCCAGCCTCTGACTTGAGGCGCATCCCTCATTGCCCGCCCCGCTTCCCAACCACCCCCTCTGCGGCCCTGCCCCTGCAGCTGGTGCTCAACATCACCGCCGCCCTCTCATCCTTCCAGCGCTGGACGGTGGGGCTGGGCATCGAGCCGCAGCTCAACTCGCTGCGTGCCGCCGTGGGCCTGCCCGCCCTGCAGGTGGGGCCCGCCGCCTCTGCCACCCCCACCGCATGCGTAGCCTGCCATGCAGCACGCGTGCTCCGGGTCTGCGGCGCCAGCATGGCGATGTGCTGTCAGCTCTCACCGCCGCCTCCTGGCCGCTCTGCCTGCCCGCTGCAGTTCACCCACACCCTCAACCTGGATTACGACAGCCTGGTCAAGCCCTGGCTGTGCGAGCAGACGCTGACCTGCGAGACGTACACGCATGGTGGGTGGAGTGGGGTGGGGCAGGTGGCTGGTTGGTTGCTCATGGGACGGCCAGCCGGCGCACCCTCTGCCATGGCAGCAGCCTCGCTGGCCCCACCGCGATCAGGCATTGAATGGCGCCTTGCTGCGTCCCTGCCCACTTGCCTCCGCCTGCCCCTCTGTGCAGCCGAGGACTTCTTCTTCCGCACCATCCACCTGGGCACCGACTGCTGGGCCTTTGTGGCGCTGTCCCGCCTGCGCAGCGCGCAGCAATGCGCCGAGGCGGGCAACTGGCACGTCGCGGCTGCACGCGCCACTCAGGTCCGGCTGGGCGCCCTGGCATCGTGTCGTGGCACGCTCGCATGCATGCATGCGCCGCACCACTTGCAAGTGCCAGCCTGGAGCGGCTCTGCCCGCCAACCTTACCTGCTGGCAATGCCCTGCCGCCCCGCCACCGCTCCCCGCCCTGCAGGCCAGCCGCATCCTGCAGTACCTGGGCAGCCACGTGATGCTGCTGACCTCCATGAACCTGTGGGACTACCTGCTGCTGAAAGTGGAACTGGAGGGGACCAGCGGGGAGGGCTCGGTGCAGGTGGGCAACAGGCCAATCGCATGCCCCCGACAGCTAGCTCATGGTTGAGCACCCTGCGATCGCGCTGTGGAAGGTTGTCAAGCCTGTCAGCACTATCCATCGCCGGCGCGCTGCCCTGCTCTGCAGGTCAAGAGCTTCCGCCCCACCGTGCGCCAGCTGTTTGAGCCGCTGGCGGCGGCGGCGCTGGGGGTGGGCGGCGCCACTGCGGCGGCCGCAGCCGCTGCCGCATGCAGCATGCCCGGCGAGGGCCAGCAGGAGCAGAGCCGGCAGGAGCTGATTGACCAGCTGGAGGCTGCGCTGATGGAAATCTACGAGTGGCCTGACAGGCAGCCAGGCAAGCCGCGTGTGGCACTGCTTTCAAGTTTCCGCGCGGCGGGGTGGTAGTTGGCTGCTGGGCGGTGGGGAGGCAGGCACGTGGCAGCCCGGGCCCATCATGCCGCGTAGGTACGGCAGTGCATGACCCTCCTGCCCATGCACTGACCTGTGCCCCTCCTGCCGCTGCACCCACCGACCCGTACCGCAGGCCTGTACAACTACTGCAAGGCGCTGGAGGCCGTGGAGACAGGCCTGCTGGGCGGCTTCTTCTACCGTCACTTCTGTCTCGCCACGAACGTGATTGGCAGCGAGGCGCGCGGCACCATGAAGCGAGCGGTGGCGGCCCTCAAGGCCGGCTACGAGGCGCCCGTCTTCCCGCTGCTCGACCGGTGCAGGTGGGGCTGTGGGGATGGGCTGGGCGCACGCACGGCAAAGATGGGCTGATGCGGCCATGTAGAATGGGGCCCAAACCGTGTGGTGGTGCTGGAGCGCTTTCTGAGCCATTCCCCTTAGCGGGGCGGCTGCAGGGTGGCTCTGGGGGCCCGTATCGACGCAGAGGTGGCTCACAACAAGGGGCGCATGATGGATGGCATCCTGGCCAAGTACCAGGCGGGCCAGCAGGAGCAGGGCGGCAGCCGCGGCTGCCCGTTTGCGCCCCCGAGCCCTGCCCCTGGCACGCCTGCAAGGAGCGGGCCGGCGGCTGGGACATGCCCCGCGGTGCCAGGTGCCACCGGGTCTGGAAGCCCAGCGGGCACTGCCGCCCCCGATGAGTTTGAGGCGGCCCGCAGGCAGCTGTACAGCTGGGAGGGCGTACCGCTGGCCTTCCGCCAGATGGTGGCGGGAGAGCTGGCCTCTCAGGTGGCTCAGCTGGGCCTGGTGCCCCGCCCCTCGCTGGGTGCCGCTTCTGCTGCCGGCGGCGGTCGCCGTGCCAGCGCCAAGCCTCTGGCCTTCCTGGACCACGCCTGGGGCCAGCTGGCGCCGCTGGCTCAGGTGAGGGGCGCAACGGGTATGGTGGGACGTTGCCAGTCTCTGGTACTGCAGTTTGCTTATGAGTTGCTCGCCGGCAGCACTGAAGCATGCGTACTGCCAGGCTGCGAGGGGCAGGCTCTGTGCCTCCCGTCTGCCCCTCACGAGGGTCCCCCTGATCAGCCTCCCTGCTGCCCTGGTGCACCCACCCCGCCTGCAGTACCGTGCCTGGCGCGAGGCGGCCGCGCTGTACGAGCTGGGCAACCCCGCCTGGGACGCCATGTTTGGCCGGGTGGTGCCGCAGGCAAGGCAGCCACGGGGCTGCGCTGTGTCGCTCCTTTTTGTCATGAGACTACATGCTCTGAGTTTGAGCTGCAGCGCCTCCATGCCATCCCGTCTGCGACCCAGCAGTGACCAGCACTGTAGCTGCGCCCTGCGGACTGCCTGCAGGCCGCGGCGCACATCCGCGGGCTGCTGGGCCTGCCCGCCGACGGCGCCGCCTGCACCGTGCAGTTTGGCAGCAACAGCCACGAGCTGGTGTCGCGCCTGCTGTCCGCCTTCATGGACCGCCGCCGCGTGCGCTCCGGCGCCAGCGCCGCGCCTGCAGCAGAGCATGGCGGCAATGGGGCGCAAGGGCGTGCTGGAGCGGAGGCGCCGCCGATCCGTGTGCTGACGAGCGGGTGTGAGTTCTACAGTGTTACCAGGCAGCTGAACCGGTTCACGGGTGAGAAGAGGGCTGACAGGGTGGTGCTTGATGTCTTGAAGTCGAGCAATGCCGCCCCAGCTGGGCAACACACTGGCGCGTTGTCCATCCCCGCCTGCAGAGGCGTGCCTGGCGGAGGTGGAGGTCGTGCCAGCAGAGCCGGCGGCCACCTTTGCCGAACGCTGCTGCGCGTCAGCGGCGGCCGCGGCGGCGGCGGGCCGGCGCTACGATGCCATCTACCTGTCGCAGATCACCTACCTCACGCAGCAGTGCCTGCTGCCCAGCGTGCCAGACCTGGTGCGCCGCCTGCGGGCCGTTGTAGGTCCAGAGGTACTCCTCATCGTGGATGGCTACCACGGCTTCTGCGCTGTGCCAACCGACCTGGGCCAGGTGGCGGGCGAGTGCTGCTACGTGGCGGGCATGCTGAAGCACGCGGGCTGCGGCGCCAACTGCGCCTTCATGACGCTGCCCGCCCGCCTGGACCTGAAGCCCGTTCTCACCGGCTGGCTGGCCGACCCCTCGGTGCTGGCCCCGGGCAGCGGCGGCATCCAGATTGGGTCAGAGGTGAGGCGGCTGCGGCGGCGCAGCCTGGCTGGGTCAAACATGTTTTCAAGTCTTTCTGCTGCATGTTCCTGACTGCCTGTCGCGCCTGCTGCCTGCAGGTGGGCTTCTGCCCTGACCTGGCGCTGCAGGGCGGCACACCATCCTACCTGCTGCCCCTGCTCACGTTCAACCATCTGATGCAGGTGTGTTGCGGGTTTGCAACAAACCCTAGTGCACACGCGATGTCGGCTCGGGTCGCAGTGTGTTGCGCATTGCATCAGCTGGCCACGCCTGCCCATCTTCCCACGCACCCCATCCCCACATGCTTGCAGCTGTGGCAGGAGGTGCATCCCGCCAAGCGGATCAGCGTGGACAGCCTGCATGGCCACGTCATGCGCCTGCACGAGAGCTTTCTGCGACGCCTGGACGCGGCGGGTCACCCCGCCATCAACACCCGCACCCTGCTGCCGCCACAGGTGCGTGTTGAGAGGGCAGACTTGTCCCGCATGGTTTGAGAGGCCCTCATATTAGTCTGGCTATCTGTTGGAGGGCTTTGAGTCGTCACCCTGCCATCTGCACCGCGGCCTGCCTGGTTTGCAGGACCCCACATGCCGCTCACACACCCTGGTGTTTGCCCAGCCTGATGCTGCGGTCACCAAGGCTGTTGTGGAGGCGCTGGCGGCACGGGGCGTGCAGGTGGACTGCCGCAAAAACTACCTGCGCATTGGGTTTGGGGCCAACCATGGCATGGACGACGTTGATGCCCTGCTGACAGCCCTGCAGGGGCTTGCAGCACCAAGGCCCTGAACCATGCATGCATCTCTATAGCAAACCAAACCAACGCGATGTAGCTGCCCTCACGTGCAGCGCTGCACCATCGACCAAAGCCACAGCAGTCGCTCCTGAGCGCTGCCGGGTTGTTGTGACCTTCCCTTGCCATCCCCCTTTAACGTGTGTTTCATCCAGTTGTCTCCCAATGCCTTCTCATGACACATATCTACCATGCATTAACGCGACCTGGGCCCTCTCCTCTCCTCTTCATTCTGTTGACGAGCATGCCAATTGATGCATGCCGCCTGTGTCGATGCCGTTGATTGACCATGATTCGTTGTAAACCACAGATTTTTATTCACAGGGACGGGATGGGGCAGGCATGGGCAGAGTTCCCTGTGCACTCTCCTGGTTCCGCCGACGGCCAGCACGCGTGGCGGCGGCGGTGTACTGCCGATGGTACCGGTGCCGCCGTGACCTGTGCTTGTTTCGGCCGTTACTGATTCACACCACTCTTAACTGCTCTCAAGAGGTGATAGAGGCTCCGTTTTGCCGGTAGGGAGCGCAGCGCGGAGAGGGCCACGCGGCAGGCGCACATACCCTCTTGTTGCGCTTTGCTTCTGAACACGCGAAATTTGGATCGCGTCAATTGGCTCCCTGCCCCCTGCCGCCCACCCACCGGCGGGCCAAGTCAAAGGATGGCGACGCCACCCGAGACCCGCCTCTCCTATGGCAGCCTATTCCGCTACTCGACGCCCAAAGAGCGCAGAGTCATCGCCCTGGGCTGCCTGGCCTCAGCTGTCACGGGTCCGCTGCCAAACCCGGCCGTCTCCCGCCCACCCCGCCGCTGCCACCCATCGCCCCGCCTCTGCTGTGTTAGCCCAATGCATAGCATAACCCTCTAACTCCTGTCTCCCACCATGAACCGAGCGCAGGCGCGATGACCCCCGTCTTTGCCCTCATGTTTGGCTACCTGCTCAATGCCTTTTGGGCCGCCGACCTGATGGCTGAGATCAACAAGTTTGCGCTCATCATCCTGGGGGTGGCGGGAGCAGCCTTCATTTCGGGTGAGAGCTGGCGGGGTGGGGCAGGCAGACCTGGCATACTGCTCTGATGAAAATCTCGCCCGCATCTGCTTGCTTGCTTGCTAAACATGGCGGCACCAGGCCATGGCATGTCCTGACCGATTTGGGGCGACGTATGGCCATGCAACTGCCCGCTGTGCCCCTGCAGGCACGCTGCAGTATGCGTGCCTGATGTGGGCCGGCACGCAGCAGGCCAATCGCGTGCGCCACCTCTACCTCACCTCGCTCCTGTCCCAGGTGCGGGCCATGCACCTGCCGCTGCCAGCACTTGCTGTCTGGACGCCGCTGCTGGGCGCCTCCAAGTGTGGGCCCCCCGATACCTGCAGCACTGAACCTCCCCGGTGTATCATGTTGTCCACCTGCCCGGCCCTGCATGCCTCTACAGGACATGGCATTCTTTGAGACCGCCACCACTAAGGCCGACCTGCTGCATGGGCTGCGTGAGGAGGCGGTGACATACCAGGAGGCGGTGTCAGACAAGCTGGGCAGCTTCCTGCAGGGGGTGGCCTGCTTCGTCGGGGCCATGGTGGGCGAAGCGGGTGGATGCTCGGTTGAAGGGCACGCCGCATGCGGATGGTAGTTGGCCATGTGCTGATGTGGTGGTCCTGCCGTGGCGCCCTGCCCCTGCCTGCAGGTAGTGTCCTTCACCCGCGGCTGGGACCTGAGCTTGGTGAGGGGCCTCGAGCTGCTGCTTTGCACCCTGAGGGACAACCAGCTCAGCCATGGCATGGCTGACGCTCACGCCTTGCGCAAAGCATGATGCAGCATGCCTGGCTGCCCCCTTGTGCCTGCAGGTTGTGCTGGCCGCCATCCCCGCCCTGGTCGTCGTGGGCGCCATCTGCGGCATCTTCACCGCGTGCCTGCAGGTCTGCCCTGGGAGCTGCACAATCTGAGCAGGCGCATCCGGGATGCACGGGCGTAATGCACCATGCTACAGCTGGCGTGCATGCTGATGCTGATCTATATGGGGGCATCCAATGCCTGCCTGCCTGCAGGCCAAGGCAAGCCGGGCATACAGCCGCGCGGGTGGCATCGCCGGAGAGGCTGTGGCCAACTATCGCACGCTGGCAGCATATGGCCAGGAGGAGGCCACCGTGAAGAGCTATGCCGCGGCGCTGGCTCCTCCCACAAAGGTGGGAGGCTCTGGGTCAGCTGCAGGCAGGGATGGCAGCCGCGCAGCCGCTCCCGCGCAGCCTGGGCAGTCACATTGGTCCAAACTGCTGGGTGACCTCCCGCGTGCATGCAGCTGGGAGAGTGGCAGGGCCTGCTGGGCGGCTTCACCCTGGGCGCCACCCACCTCACCTTCTTTGCGGCCTATGCGCTGGCGCTGTGGTATGGCAGCCGCCGGGTGGCAGACGGAGAGATGGATGGCGGCAAGGTGGGCATGCCCTCGCTGGCGGGGAGGCACATGGGCTGACAGCCAACCATCTCCTGCCGGCGGCTGCGCGACATGCCTGATTGCCCAACTGGGATGTGCAGGTGTGGACCATCATCCTGTCGTGCGTGCTGGGAGGCTTCTCGTTGGGAGGGGTGAGACCAGCATAACCTGCCCTGAATGCGCTTCCTTAAACTTCAGTGCCCGTTGCCTGCCCCACTGTCCTTCCCTGCCTCAGCGCCTGTACCCACCTGTGCCTGTTTCCACCTCCTCACCCCGCTGCAGGCCATGCCGCACTTGGCGGTCTTCCAGCAGGGCTGCGTGGCGGCCGCCAGCCTGTTCGCCGTCATTGAGCGCACATCCGCACAGGCCTCTCCTGCTGGCACTGCCCCCATCACCATTACCTTAACCAGCAGCCAAGCTGGGGCTGGCCAGGGCAAGGCCGCCCCCAAGAGCAGCCGCATTGTGTACACCGCGGCCGACGGCCAGCTGGTGCCAGCTGGCGCCAGCTGTCGTGGCGACCTGGAGCTGAGCTGCGTCAGCTTTGCCTACCCGGCCCGCCTTGAGCGCCCCGTCTTCCAGGGGCTGTCCCTTGTGTTCCCAGCAGGTGGGGATCTGCTGCCAGGCTGCTTGCATCTTGCTGCTGATCAAACAAGTTGCTGAATCTGCACCATCCATCTGCCGTCTTCTGTAGGCAAGACCAGCGCCCTGGTGGGCGAGAGCGGCAGCGGCAAGTCCACCGTCATCCAGCTGCTCCTGCGCCTGTACGACCCAGGCGCCGGCGCCGTGCTGCTGGACGGCCGCGACGTGCGCACCCTGCCCCTCGACTGGCTGCGCTCGCAGGTGGGGCACACGCAGGCTGCTGCGACCGCCTGCGAACCTCATGCTTCGTCACTTGCCTGGCATTCTGTGCCAGATTTGGACGCAAGCCGAATGCAGGCATCTCAGGCGGTGCCCGTCCCCCTCCCGCGCAGTTTGGCCTGGTCAGCCAGACCCCCACCCTCTTTGCCTCCTCCATATTTGACAACATCGCCCTGGACAGCGGCGCCAGCATGGAGCAGGTGGTGGCCGCAGCCATGGCCGCCAACGCGCACGGCTTTATCTCAAAGCTGCCGAACGGGTGGGTGGGTGGGTGGGTGCCAGCCTGGCCGCCTGCTGCTTCGGTCTGTCAGGCCAGAGCTGTGGCCAGAGCTGTGGCCAGTGCAGCTGTTTTTGTTGGTTGTGTTTCTATGGGCTCATGCCTGGCATGTGTGCTTGGCAGGTATGACACCGTCGTGGGCGAGAAGGGCAGCAACCTGAGCGGGGGGCAGCGGCAGCGCATCGCCATTGCGCGTGCCATCCTGAGGAACCCGGCGGTGATGCTCCCCGGCCTGGCTGCTGCTGGGTCTGGCTGGCTGCAATGGGGCCCAAGGGCTTGCATCGTACGCCTGGCTGGCTGCATCCCGAGCATGCCTAACAACCTGGTCTCCTCGCCCCCTGCTGCCACACAGGTGCTGCTGCTGGATGAGGCGACCTCGGCGCTGGACAGCGGCTGCGAGAAGGCGGTGCAGGCGGCTCTGGAGGGCCTGATGGTGAGCAGAACCGGCGTGACCGTGGCGCACCGCCTGTCCACGGTGGCGGCCGCCGACGCCATCCACGTCCTGAGGAGCGGGGTGGCGGTGGAGTCGGGCACACACCGGGAGCTTCTGGAGCGAGGCGGACACTACTCCAGCCTGGCGGCCAGGCAGGCAATGCGGCTGGAGGAGGAGGAGGAGGAGGAGGCGGGTGGCCAGGCCGGGGCGCCTGGGGATGCGCTGGTCAAGGTGGCCGCCGGCACCGGCAGGGGCAAGGGCGCCGTGCGCCAGCTCCGCGACTCCGTCCTCCGCCGCGGCTCCGTGCGCCTCTCCATCATCCCCCAGGCAATCGCCCGCCCCGCAGCAGCTTGCTGCGCCCGCCTGGCTGCACCGAGCCTGCCCCAAGCCTGCTGCCCACTGGTCGCCCTCCAAGCCGCCTACATTGCATGACTTCGCACGTGTTCCCCCTTACCTGCCTGCCTGCTGCGCCTGCTGTGCCATGCAGGCCCTCAAAGAAAAGCTGTCTGCCAAGAAGGAGCAGCAGGGCGGCGAGGCGCCGCCCGTCAGCTTTGGCCGCCTGGCCGCCCTCAACCGCCCCGAGTGGCGCTTCTGGGCGCTGGGCCTCGTGTGCGCTGCGGCCGCGGGCCTGCAGGTGGGCTGCCTGCAAGCACTCTGCAGCATGCCATGCAGCCCAGCGCTGCGCGAGCCCAGACCAAAAGCGGAAGGCACAGCAGCTTCGACCAAACAGGCCTTGACCAGCGGCTCCTGTATGCCCCTTGCTGCTGCAGATGCCAGGCTTTTCTCTGGCGCTGTGGGAGGTGCTGTCGGGGCTGTACCTGCCAGACCCATCTGACGTCAGGCAAGGCAGAAGACGTGGCAGCACATGCTTTCACTGCTTTCACTGCTTTCATGCTTTCACTTTGGCTTGGGCGATGTCGAAATGCCGATGCGGCTGGCTGCCTCGTGCAGGTCTGAGGGCCGCAAGTGGGCGCTGGTGTTTGTGGGCGTGGGTGTGGGGGCCCTGCTGGCGGAGACGATTGAGGCGAGTGCTGGACTGCCTCACCCCCTGCGCCCTGCCCGCTCAACTCCCCCAGCGTGTGCCAAGCGTGCGCCAAGCCTTCTGCCGCACACCACGCCCTCTACGCCCCTCAACTATAACCGCCCCACCCTTCGCCTGCCCGCAGGGCTGGTGCTTTGGCGTGATGGGCCAGCGCCTGGCCACCCGCCTGCGCGTGCTGATGCTCAAGTCGCTGCTGCGCCAGGATGCCGCCTTCTTCGACCGCCCCGAGAACGCCAACGGCACGCTGATGGCGGCGCTGGCGGGGGACGCGGCCAGCGTGCGTGGCGCGGTGGGCGTGCTGTGCTCCATCCTCTCCTGCATCGTGGCCTCCTACGCCATCGCCTTCTACAACAGGTGGAGGTGGTGTGCTGGCTGTGTGTGTGGGCAGTGTGCTGCTCTGTGTGTGTGTGTGTGTGTGTGTGGTGGATTTTTTGGCAGGTCTGGACAAGCAGGAGCAGGTGGGGAGCTGGAGCAGCAGGCTGCGTGGCTCTGTCGGGTCATCCCGGGTGCCCGCTGACCTTCCTGCATCGGCCCTGCCCCCTCCCCTCCCAAACCCGCCCCCGCAGCTGGTCGGTGACGCTGGTGGTGACTGCGGCGCTGCCGGTGCTGATCGCCTCCAACTCCCTCCTGGCCAAGCTGGCCTTTGGCGCCCAGAAGGCGGACCGAGAGGCGGCGGACCAGGCCAACGGGGTGGCAGCCGAGGCGCTGGGGGCCATCTCCACGGTGGCGGCCTTCAACATGCAGCCCGCGTATGTGCGCCTGTACCGCCAGGAGCTGCAGAGAAGCTCCCCAGCCTGGTCGGCACTGGCCGCGGGGCTGGGCTTTGGGTGCAGGTCAGTCGGGCCGCCGCCGGCTGGGCCGAGCGGACAGCACACCTCGGGCGCAGCTGCAGCCGACTTGCACACTGGTACGGGAGCTGCCTCTCCACTGCCTGCCCCCCCATCACCCCCCGTGCTGCGCCGCTCTGCCCCCTGCCGCAGCCAGTTCTTCCTGCTGGGCGTCACCAGCCTGGGCTTCTGGTTTGGCGGCAGCCAGGTGTCCGGCGGCCACCTGGGCTTCAAGCAGATGCTCACCGCCAACATGGCAGTCTTCTACGCCGCCTTTGGGCTGGCACAGGCGGGTGGCACGGGCCGGGCTGCTGGGTGGGGCGGCTTTGAGGATGCCGGAATGTGCCTTGCCTTGCAAGTGCGGTGCAGCAGACGGGCTGCCTGCCTTGTGCTGTGTTCCTGGCCTCTCACTGGTGCCGCCGTTTCCTGCACCCCTCGCACACATGGCACCACCCTCCACCCGCACGCTGCAGGCCCAGGCCTCGTTCCCCGAGCTGGCGCGCGCCGCCGACGCGGTGCGGCGCACGTTCCGCATCTTGGACGCCCACCCCGCCGTGGACCCCAGCGCCTCGGTGGGCGCCCAGGTGGAGCTGGAGGGCGGCGTGGAGCTGAGGCGCGTGGCCTTTGCCTACCCCTCCCGCCCCCAGCGCCTCATCCTCAAGGAATTCAGCCTGGCCA